GGAAAATGGGTCATTCCAGACATTGTTCAGAAGAACAGCGTACCTTGATTAAAAAGTTGATTGGAGGGGAAAACATATAAAGAAGTGCAGAAAATGATCGGCTGCTCAGCTAAAATGATGGCAAATGCTTTAAAATGGCACCAAAACCTGAAAGACGAGGAAGAAAGCGAAAAACTACCATTGGAATGGATAGAAGAATAGCCAAAATGGGGCGGACTCAGCCAACAATCAGCTCCAGGAAGATGAAAGAAGGTGTGACGTTCCCTGTGAGGACTGTTACAATTAGAAGATGCCGATGTGAAGCCAAGATATCTGCAAGAAGTCCCCGCAAAGTCCCACTGTTGGGAAAAAGACGTGTGCTGAAGAGGTTACAATCTGCCAAAGAGCACATTGACCGGCCTAAAGAGAAATGACGCAACATTTTGTGGACTGATGAAAGTAAGATGGTTCTTTTTGGGTCTAGTGGGCGGAGACAGTTTGTCAGACGACCCCCAAACACTGAATTCAAGCCACAGTACACTGTGAAGACCGTGAAGCATGGTGGTGCAAGCATCATGATATGGGGATGTTTCTCATACTACGGCGTTGGGCCTATTTATCGCATACCAGGGATCATGGATCAGTTTGAATCCATCAGAATACTTGAAGAGGTCATGCTGCCTTATGCTGAAGAGGAAATGCCCTTGAAATGGGTGTTCCAACAAGACAAGGACCCCAAACACACCAGTAAACGTGCAACATCTTGGTTCCAGACCAACAAGATGGACGTTATGGAGTGGCCAGCCCAATCCCCGGATCTTCATCCAATAGAAAACTTGTGGGGTGACATCAAAAATGCCGTTTCTGAGGCAAAACCAAGAAATAGAGAAGAACTGTGGAATGTGGTCCAATCATCCTGGGCTGGAATACCTGATCACAGGGGCCAGAAGTTGGGGACTCCATGCAACACAGATGTACAGCAGTTCTCAGAAACAGTGCGACTACAACCAAATATTCATGAAGTCATTCAAAGGAAAGCAAAATCTTCAAACATTTCTCAGTTTATATAGTGAATGTTTGAGTTTGTAAAGAAGAATACAAACACGGCCATTTTTTTGAACCGTCTAATATTCACTTTTCTTCCATTTTTTTTAGAGGAACAACACAAATTTGATGTATTTTTCTTCATGTTGTGATTTGGAATAGAATGTGTCGTGTTCCCAATGCATTTGTGTGGATGGAAATAAAAGGATTAGAAGGATTTTCAGCTTTAGCCACTTTTTTCATCACACTGCTATTATTTTGAACACAACTGTAGATCTTTCTATCACTAGAGGGGTCACCGGCAGGAGGAAGGAGGTCCTGATTCCTCTATATAGATCTTTTTTTGTGTAAGATTATGAGCTCTAACTGGCAGAAACCCCCATCCCCCCTTTTCCCTATAACACTATAGACTGCAATGGGCAGAGGTGACTAAGGCCCAGTAGGGGTGGAAATGGATCGGCATGGGCTTCACTGTGGACTTTCCATTTGAAATTGAGTAACATTTTGTGGAGATGTCACCACTCTCTAGTGAATGGATAGGCTGCACTCTCGGTGATGTCATCGCTCTCTAGTGAATGGATAGGCTGCATTCTCGGTGATGTCACCGCTCTCTAGTGAATGGATAGGCTGCATTCTCGGTGATGTCACCGCTCTCTAGTGAATGGATAGGCTGCATTCTCGTGATGTCACCGCTCTCTAGTGAGTGGATAGGCTGCATTCTCGGTGATGTCACCGCTCTCTAGGGAACGGATAGGCTGCATTCTCAGCGATGTCACCGCTCTCTAGTGAATGGATAGGCTGCATTCTCGGTGATGTCACAGCTCTCTAGGGAATGGATAGGCTGCATTCTCGGTGATGTCACCGCTCTCTAGTGAATGGATAGGCTGCATTCTCGGTGATGTCACCGCTCTCTAGTGAATGGATAGGATGCATTCTCAGTGATGTCACCGCTCTCTAGTGAATGGATAGGCTGCATTCTCGGTGATGTCACCGCTCTCTAGTGAGTGGATAGGCTGCATTCTCAGTGAGGTCACCCTTCTCTAGTGAATGGATAGGCTGCATTCTCAGTGATGTCACCGCTCTCTAGTGAACGGATAGGCTGCATTCTCAGCGATGTCACCGCTCTCTAGTGAATGGATAGGCTGCATTCTCGGTGATGTCACAGCTCTCTAGGGAATGGATAGGCTGCATTCTCGGTGATGTCACCGCTCTCTAGTGAATGGATAGGCTGCATTCTCTGCGATGTCACTGCTCTCTAGTGAATGGATAGGCTGCATTCTCGGTGATGTCACCGCTCTCTAGTGAATGGATAGGCTGCATTCTCGGTGATGTCACCGCTCTCTAGTGAATGGATAGGCTGCATTCTCTGCGATGTCACTGCTCTCTAGTGAATGGATAGGCTGCATTCTCAGTGATGTCACCGCTCTCCAGTGAATGGATAGGATGCATTCTCGGTGATGTCACCGCTCTCTAATGAATGGATAGGCTGCATTCTTAGTGATGTCACCGCTCTCCAGTGAATGGATAGGCTGCATTCTCGGTGATGTCACCGCTCTCTCTAGTGAATGGATAGGCTGCATTCTCGGTGATGTCACCGCTCTCTAGTGAATGGATAGGCTGCATTCTCGGTGATGTCACCGCTCTCTAGTGAGTGGATAGGCTAGGCTGGATAGGCTTCATTCTCGGTGATGTCACCGCTCTCTAGTGAATGGATAGGCTGCATTCTCGGTGATGTCACCGCTCTCTAGGGAATGGATAGGCTGCATTCTGGTGAATGGATAGGGCTGCATTCTCGGAATGTGATGTCACAGATGTCACTAAGTGAATGGATAGGCTGCATTCTCGGTGATGTCACCGCTCTCTATTCTCAGTGAAATGGATAGGCTGCATTCTCGGTGATGTCACCGCTCTCTAGTGAATGGATAGGCTGCATTCTCAGCGATGTCACCGCTCTCTAGTGAATGGATAGGCTCATTCTCGGTGATGTCACCGCTCTCTAGTGAATGGATAGGCTGATTCTGGTGATGTCAGGCTCTCAGTGAATGGATAGGCTGCATCTCAGTGATGTCACCGCTCTCTAGTGAATGGATAGGCTGCATTCTCAGTGAGTCACCGCTCTCTAGTGAATGGATAGGCTGCATTCTCACTGATGTCACCGCTCTCTAGTGAATGGATAGGCTGCATTCTCAGCGATGTCACCGCTCTCTAGTGAATGGATAGGCTGCATTCTCAGTGATGTCACCGCTCTCCAGTGAATGGATAGGCTGCATTCTCGGTGATGTCACCGCTCTCTAGTGAATGGATAGGCTGCATTCTCAGGTGATGTCACCGCTCTCCAGTGAATGGATAGGCTGCATTCTCGGTGATGTCACCGCTCTCTAGTGAATGGATAGGCTGCTGCATTCCGCTCAGTGATGTAGGACCGGTGATGTCTCCGCTCTCAGTGAATGGATAGGCTGCATTCTCAGGTGATGTCACCGCTCTCTAATGAATGGATAGGCTGCATTCTCAGTGATGTCACCGCTCTCCAGTGAATGGATAGGCTGCATTCTCGGTGATGTCACCGCTCGCTAATGAATGGATAGGCTGCATTCTCAGTGATGTCACCGCTCTCTAGTGAATGGATAGGATGCATTCTCGGTGATGTCACCGCTCTCTAATGAATGGATAGGCTGCATTCTCGGTGATGTCACCGCTCTCTACTGAATGGATAGGCTGCATTCTCGGTGATGTCACCGCTCTCTAGGGAATGGATAGGCTGCATTCTCAGTAAGGTCACCACTCTCTAGTGAGTGGATAGGCTGCATTCTCGGTGATGTCACCGCTCTCTAGTGAACGGATAGGCTGCATTCTCGGTGATGTCACCGCTCTCTAGGGAATGGATAGGCTGCATTCTCAGTGATGTCACCGCTCTCTAGTGAACGGATAGGCTGCATTCTCGGTGATGTCACCGCTCTCTAGGGAATGGATAGGCTGCATTCTCGGTGATGTCACCGCTCTCTAGGGAATGGATAGGCTGCACTCATTGAACAGATATAACAAGGTGCTTGCAATTGTATATTTTAGCAGACTATAAGGGAGGAAATAAAATATATCCATTGTTGGGGTTTACATGCACTTTAATTCTTTATAGTCTTCTCTTTCACAAACTGAACCTATCCCTGTCTGTACAATGGAGGGGTTGGTGTTCAACATGTAGAAGGTCCTGGCATTGGATTGGTTCATGAAGTTTGATTGACAGCTTCCATCTCCTGCCCTGTACACCTTCCTGGCATTGGCATCTCTGCAGGTCTATTATAGGTGGTAGAAGGCATCACATCCCCTGACCCCGGAAACAGGTGGAAGGCCTCCTCTTTCTTGCTGAGTTGCAGGATTCCTGCTCGGTCCGGTGCGCGGTCTGATTTATTTGGGTGACCCTTGTAATTTAAAAAGAAAAAAAAAAGGAATGACTGATATACAATCTGTGCAACCAATTAGCAAATAACAGATGAATGTCGCGGTCAGCACTATTCGCTCTCTTTTGGACAACGGTTCTCGTGTGATCAATCACCGAATCCATCAGGGAGCGTTCTGATTGACGGGGCAGATTATAGGCTGTTTCTGGAACATTTGGCTGCAGATCCAAGGGAGTCGGCGGTACGGAGCCAGCAGAACGCAGAGGGTTAAGTGTAAAAGCCGCACGCCGTGCCAGTCTGTTGTGATAAGAAATCGATTGATAGCTAAAGAAAAACTTGTGTCAGGAAGAACGAGCCACGTGATGTGTGATGGAGACTCCGATCTGGAGACTTCCTTTAAATACTCAATCCGACCTCCCCTCCAGTCTTGCACAGGTGTACCGGCTCCTCCCCTCCAGTCTTGCACAGGTGTACCGGCTCCTCCCCTCCAGTCTTGCACAGGTGTACCGGCTCCTCCCCCCCTCCAGTCTTGCACAGGTGTACCGGCTCCTCCCCTCCAGTCTTGCACAGGTGTACCTGCTCCTCCCCTTCAGTCTTGCACAGGTGTACCTGCTCCTCCCCTCCAGTCAGTTTGCACAGGTGTACCGGCACCTCCCCTCCAGTCTTGCACAGGTGTACCTGCTCCTCCCCTTCAGTCTTGCACAGGTGTAACAGACTCCTCCCCTCCAGTCTTGCACAGGTGTACCGGCTCCTCCCCTTCAGTCTTGCACAGGTATAATGGCTCCTCCCCTTCAGTCTTGCACAGGTGTACCGGCTCCTCCCCTTCAGTCTTGCACAGGTGTACCGGCTCCTCCCCTCCAGTCTTGCACAGGTGTACCAGCTCCTCCCCTCCAGTCTTGCACAGGTGTATCGGCTCCTCCCCTCCAGTTTTGCACAGGTGTGCCGGCTCCTCCCCTTCAGTCTTGCACAGGTGTACCGGCTCCTCCCCTCCAGTCCCTCCAGTCTTGCACAGGTGTACTGGCTCCTCCCCTTCAGTCTTGCACAGGTGTACCGGCTCCTCCCCTCCAGTCTTGCACAGGCGTACCGGCTCCTCTCCTGGACTGGAATGGCTTCCTCTGATTTCACCGCACACTGGGAGCTTCTCACAAGCTGCACCAAGTCAGATAGAGCTCCGCCCCATTTCCTGGCTGGAGGGCATCCAGTAGATATGTTTGGTTCAGATGAATTTTTTGCTATTCGAATGTCTCAGAATTCTGAATTACAATAGTAACGAGTCCGAAATAACGGAACTAAATTGGGACTCGAATTTGAATCGAATATAAAAAGAATAGGATAGAACATCAAAAAGTAGAATAGATTAGAATAGAAAAGACTATATTAGAATAGAATAGGATAGAAAAAAACAATAGAAAGGAATAAAACAGAATATACCTGTCTTCCGAAATTCAAATTTCAGATAGAATAAATTAGAATTCGAAGTGAATAGAATAGAAAAAAAATGAATAGAAAAGAATAGAATAGAGTAAAAAAGAATACAATAGAAAAGAATACAATAGAAAAAAACAATAGAACACAATAAAATAGAAATTCAAATTTCAAATATAATACATCTGAATTTGAATACAATAGATTAGAATACAAAAAGAATAGAATAAACAATAGAATAAAATAGAATATAACTGTCTTCAGAAATTCAAATTTTGATTAGACTAAATTCAAATTCGAATAGAACAGAATAGAATAGGAAAGAATAGAATAGCAAATAAGAGAATAGAAGAAAATAATAGAATACAATAAAAAAGAATAAAATAGAAATAAATATAGAAATAGAAATGTAACAGTCTTCCGAAATTAGAGGATTAGAATAGAACAGAAAAGAAGAGACTGGAATAGACAAAAAACAGTATAATAGAATAAAAAAGAAATTCAAATTTCGAATAAAATACGTTTAAATTCGAATAGAATAAATTAGATTAGAATAGAACAGCAAAGAATACAATAGAAAAAAATAGAATAAAAACATCTTCCGAAACTCAAATTTCGAATCAAATACATTAGAATTCGAACGTCAAATCGAATTTGGCCGAATTGAATCAAACAACCTGTTTGCTAAATTTTATAATCGAAACAAAGAAACTATTTTTTTCCAAATTTTTTGCTATTTTTTGGTTTATAGCGCAAAAAATAAAACCCCCAGCGGCGTATAAATGCACCAAATAAAGCTCTATTTGTGTGAAAAAAATGATAAAAATTTCATACGGGTGCAGCGTCGCATGATTCAAAGTGCGACAGCGCTGAAAGCTGAAAATTGCCCTGGGCAGGAAGGGGGTAGAAGTGCCCGGTAGGCGAGGGGTTCAATTAGTGTCAGTGTGTTTTAGGTTGGATAAAAATTTAAAAAAAAGCAAAAAAAACCCCAAAAAAACTAAAATTGCTTCTGGGCCGTACCATGGGTGCAAATGAACATAAAAATATAACTGTATTAAAAATAAATATATAAATAAATGTAAAAAATATACAGTCAGGTCCATAAATATTGGGACATGGACACAATTCTAACGTTTTGGTTCTATACAACACCACAATGGATTTGAAATGAAACAAACAAGATGTGCTTTAACTGCAGACTGTCAGCTTTAATTTGAGGGTATTTACATCCAAATCAGGTGAACGGTGTAGGAATTACAACAGTTTGCATATGTGCCTCCCACTTGTTAAGGGACCAAAAGTAATGGGACAGAATAATAATCATAAATCAAACTTTCACTTTTTAATACTTGGTTGCAAATCCTTTGCAGTCAATGACAGCCTGAAGTGTGGAACGCATAGACATCACCAGACGCTGGGTGTCATCCCTGGTGATGCTCTGCCAGGCCTCCACTGCAACTGTCTTCAGTTCCTGCTTGTTCTTGGGGCATTTTCCCTTCAGTTTTGTCCTCAGCAAGTGAAATGCTCAATCGGATTCAGGTCAGGTGATGGACTTGGCCATTGCAGAACATTCCACTTCTTTGGTTGCTTTTGCAGTCTGCTTTGGGTCATTGTCCATCTGCACTGTGAAGCGTCCAATGAGTTGTGAAGCATTTGGCTGAATATGAGCCGATAATATTCCCGAAACACTTCACAATTCATCCGGCTGCTTCTGTCAGCCGTCACATCATCAATAAATACAAGAGAAGCAGTTCCATTGGCAGCCATACATGCCCACGCCATGACACTACCACCACCATGATCACTGATGAGGTGGTATGCTGAGGACCATGAGCAGTTCCTTCTCCATACTCTTCTCTTCCCATCACTCTGGTACAAGTTGATGTTGGTCTCATCTGTCCATAGGATGTTGTTCCAGAACTGTGAAGGCTTTTTTTTACATGTCGTTTGGCAAACTCTAATCTGGCCTTCCTGTGTTTGAGGCTCACCAATGGTTTCCATCTTGTGGTGAACCCTCTGTATTCACTCTGGTGAAGTCTTCTCTTGATTGGTGACTTTGACACACATACACCTACCTCCTGGAGGGTGTTCTTGATCCGGCCAACTGTTGTGAAGGGTGTTTTCTTCACCAGGGAAAGAATTCTTCGCTCATCCACCACAGTTGTTTTCCGTGGTCTTCCGGGTCTTTTGGTGTTGCTGAGCTCACCGGTGCGTTCCTTCTTTGTAAGAATGTTCCAAACAGTTGTTTTGGCCACGCCTCATGTTTTTGCTATCTCTCTGATGGGTTAGTTTTGTTTTTTCAGCCTAATGATGGCTTCACTGATAGTGACAGCTCTTTGGATCTCATCTTGAGAGTTGACAGCAACAGATTCCAAATGCAAATAGCACACTTGAAATGAACTCTGGACCTTTTATCTGCTCATTGTAATTGGGATAATGAGGGAATAACACACACCTGGCCATGGAACAGCTGAGAAGCCAATTGTCCCATTACTTTTGGTCCCCTAACAAGTGGGAGGCACATATGCAAACTGTTGTAATTCCTACACCGTTCACCTGATTTGGATGTAAATACCCTCAAATTAAAGCTGACAGTCTGCAGTTAAAGCACATCTTGTTCATTTCATTTCAAATCCATTGTGGTGGTGTATAGAGCCAAAAATGTTAGAATTGTGTCCATGTCCCAATATTTATGGACCTGACTGTAAATGTATTAAAAATATATATAAATAAATGTAAAAATATAAAAGTATGAAAAATATAAATAAATGTATTAAAAATATATATATAAAAATATAAATGTATTAAAAATATATATAAATGTATTAAAAAATATATAAATAAATATAAAAAAATATAAATGTATTAAAAATATATATAAATAAATGTAAAAATATAAATGTATTACAAATATATATAAATAAATGTAAAAATATAAATACATAAAAAATATATATAAATAAATGTATTAAATATATATATATATATATATATATATATATATATATAAATAAATGTAAAACTATAAATGTATTAAAAATATATATAAAATAAATGTAAAAATATAAATGTATTAAATATATATAAATAAATGTAAAAATATAAATATATTAAATATATATATATAAATAAATGTATTAAATATATATATAAATAAATGTAAAAATATAAATGTATTAAAAATATATATAAATACATTTGTTAAAAAATATATAAAATAAATATAAAAATATAAATGTATTAAAAATATATATAAATAAATGTAAAACATAAATGTATTAATAATATATATAAATAAATATAAATGTATTAAAAATATATATAAATTAATGTAAAAATATATATGTATTAAAAATATACATAAATAAATGTATTAAAAATATATATAAAAAATATAAAAATATATAATGTATAAAAATATATAAAATTAATGTATAAATGTATTAAAAATATATATAAATGTATTTAAAAATATAAATAAATAAATCTATTAAAAATATATATAAAAAAATAAATATAAAAATATAAAAAAATATAAAAACAAATATACTCATATCTATGTGACATCACCGTGACCGCCAGGGGCAGGAGAATTTATGTGGGGTTGTTTCTTTGGTGGTAGGTTGTGGTAGGAGCAAGAAATATACAGATATATTTTTAAAAAAGTATTTTTTTTTGGGTAATATTTTGGGCCAGCTTTCCTTGGATGATAAAAAAAAAAATAAATCAGGAGATATCATTACCGTCCAATGAAAGCCCAATTTGTTGTGAAAAAAAAAACGGTGTCATCTCCCTGGATGCGCAAAGTAGTTTCGGTTTTACAATCACCAGTCAAAGTTGCAAAATTGTGTTCAGGCATTAACATTTGTTTTCTATCACTAAGGGGTTAAACTCCACCTTTAATGGCGCGGCGGAAAATCACAGGTGGGTGGGCATCCTCCATGTAGGGGCCCCGTGACTCTGCATTGATGGCCCTTATGGACAAGAGCTAAGTGCTTGGCTGAGTTGTGGCATAGAGGAGGAGTCAGGGTCAGGAGGAGGAAAGGGGAGCCTGCTGTGACAGCCAATGAGAATGCAGATATTAGGGGCAGTGTACCCCAGGTGGGCAGGAGGTGTGTAATCCTGGAAGTGGGGGGGGGGGTGCAGAGGTGATGAGAGCCCCCGCCCAGGGTGATAAGTGTCAAGGCATGGATAGGCTGCATTCTCGGTGATGTCACCTCTCTCTAGTGAATTCTAGGCTCCACCCTCAGTGATGTCACCGCTCTCTAGTGAAGGGATAGGCTGCATTCTCCGTGATGTCACAGCTCTCTAGTGAACGGATAGGCTGCATTCTTGGTGATGTCACCGCTCTCTAGTGAACGGATAGGCTGCATTCTCGATGATGTCACCGCTCTCTAGTGAAGGGACAGGCTGCATTCTCAGTGATGTCACCGCTCTCTAGTGAAGGGACAGGCTGCATTCTCAGTGATGTCACCGCTCTCTAGTGAA